TTTTTTTTTTTTTTTTTTTTTTTTTGATTTTTCTTTTTCACCAAATGAGATAATGAGAAATCAAATTGTGCAGCATAAGATCATGCTTAGTTGGTAAGTTTCAATTGAGCAGCCAGTTGATTGTTGACCCACAGATAGGTTTTTCTGATTTTAAACAACAAAAAGAAAAAACAACCTGGGAAGCATGTGGAAGCACAAGGTTGGCCCGGTACACAAGACGCGCAAATAGAAATACTGCAACAGGAGCTGCAGCCTGTATTGCACGACTCCTGACAAGGTGCGTTTGTACAAGTTTGTTCTTGTATAGACTCTCCTTGACACTAAAAAGTAAGGTTGCTTAATGACCACAAATTGGTGTCCTACTGTTTCAAAATACCAGGTAAGCTATAAGTTTAAAAGTCGTGATGCGACAAGCAGAAACGTTTAAAAAAAAACTCACTCCCTGAGAGCAAGAACATTCTCGTGACCGAATTGAAACACCATTACCACATGTAACCGAACAACTACTCCATGGTCCCCACTGACCCCAGTTGCAACAAGGCTGCTAAAAATAGAAAAGTTAGACTTTAACTCGTGCTTTGTTCTTCAAGGTTTCTGTGATTTTCTAAGAAATTAGCGTTGGAACTAACGGGGTTGCAGTTGCGCGTTTCGCTTGAAGGACCACTGCAACTAAGCGTTTGACCGGCGACTCTAATGCACAATCGGGTTCGTGTTTGTGTGCCACCACCGCATGAAGCGCTAAAATAATGGAAGTCTGAATACTGCCGAAATTTGAGCAGCAGTACAAACAACTGTACTGGTATGATTTCATGATTTTTATCAATCAGTGAAGTCAAGTAGAATGTTTATCAAAAAGATAAATCTATCTATTGCTTTTCAATACTTATTATAGTGTCTGTTCTGACTTTACCTGCATATGGTCCATGCAGACCATTCGCCCCAGACAGGCGGTGGAAGTGTGGTTGTGGTTGGCGGATCACATCTTATAGCTTCATCTCTGGCACCTTCACAGTTTGCACCTCTACAGCTTCTTTCTCTTGTTCTGCCCCACACTAAATTAAAACAAACTGGAATTACCGTTTTAAAAAATTTTTTTCAAATTATAAGAATTAAAAAAATTTCTAAAATGACAAGATATGGAAAAAATTGTCTGCATTCTATTCGATGAAGAACTAGTTTGCTGTTTAGATACCTCCATATTGAAATGTGCAATCGCTCCACGGTCCCCATTCTCCCCACTGTCCTTCACAAGTTGTACATGGAATCACACAAGTTAGACAAACTTGAGGGGCACCGTTAACAAAAGCAATGTCTGTTGTTAAGAGCGCAACGATACCTGAAGCAGCATTGTCTTTATTTTTAGTATTATCTTGTCATAAAACAAAAATGCTTTTAAACTGTTTTAATGATCGACAAAATATAGTGATGTTTTATTGATACTATAAAATAAATGCAAACTTACTCGCAAGGAAAAACTGTAAGCCTGACATTTTGAATTGAAGTAAGAAGCTCGTAAAAATTGATGGTGAAAATCATGGAGGACAGTCGCTTATATATGAGGATATTTCTGTGTCATCAAAAGAACTTAACTTTGCAAGTTTACACAATTATACCTTCAGTTGCATTTTCTTCTCAAACTTTTTTTTCTCACTTACTTTAACTGTCTGAACATTGTTGTTAGCATAAAAGTGTTGTGTACTATTTGTTGCTGTCTTTCACTCTTTCTCGTTGAATGACGTATAAAAGAAGCTTTTTTTTCATCACAATTAGTTCTTCAGTAAATATTGAAGAAGATGACTTCCGTCTGAAGTTTGAGGATCAGACTTGAAATTGGCGAGAAAAAATACCATTTGCTAAGTATGAGTCAGCATCATTACCGCAATAACTCATCAGCTGTACATTGCTTTCGATTCTTTTCCAGTGTTATTTTCGTGTATGTTTTTTCGCACATCGCGTAGGTTTATGCCAGTATAAACCAATCTAGAAATTGCGTTTATAATA